GAAGGAAGGAAGGAAGGAAGGAAGGAAGGAAGGAAGGAAGGAAGGAAAGCTGGCCAGGTATATTAGATTAACAGATAGCTGTGTGTGAGCATGTGCATGAGAGAGAGAGAGATTAGATAAAATAGCTTAGATAGAGATTAGATAAATAAATGGGATAGATTAAATAGTGATTAGGCAAATAGGATAATAGATGGAATAGATTACATAGATTAGATAGATGGAATAGATTAGATTAATTTGAATAGAGGTTAGGTAAATAAGATAGATTGAATATTGACTAGATAGGATAATAGATGGAATGATTAGATAGATGGAATGGATTAGAATAGCTTGGATAGAAATTAGATAAATAAATAAGACAGATTGAATATTGATTAGATAGGATAATAGATGGAACAAATTAGATAAGATTAGATTAGAAAAATGGAATGTGTCAGAATAGCTTGGATAGAGATTAGATAAATACATGAGATAGATTGAATATTGATTAGATTGCTAGGATGATAGCTGGAATAGATTAGATAGATAAAATTAGATTAGATACGTGGAATAGATTAGAATATCTTGGATAGAAATTAGACAAATAAGATGGATTGAATATAATTAGATAGACAGGATAATAGATGGAATAAATTAGATAAGATAAGATTAGATAAATAGAATAGCTAATAAATAATAGCTAAAATCAGATAGATAGGATAGTTTAGAGATTAAATAGGATAGATTAAGTAGAGATTAGATGGATTAGATAGAATAGATTAAATGGAGAGTTGATAGGATAGATTAGATAGAAATTAGATTAGATAGAATAAATCAGATAGAGATTAGATAGGATAGGTTAGATAGATTGACCATATTAGATATAGAATAGATTAGGTGGAAAAGAGAGATTAAATAGCTAGGATAGATTAGTTAGATTGACAGATTAGATGAAATAGAAAAGCATTTATTACTATGTGCCAGTCATGGTGATAAGCACTGGGGATATAAATACAAGGAAGTGCAACAGTTCCTCTCCTCAAGGACCTTACATTCTAGTGGGAAAAGACAGCAGGTAGAGGAAATCTGGGAAGGAGTTGAAAGTGGGGTGGGGGTCCTGTGTGGGGATAGAGTGAAGAGTGGCCGAGAAGTAGCCTGGAGCCATGAGTCTCACCAAGACAAAGCAAGAGCTCAGTGCTCATCTAACCAGGGGACACAGGGCTGGAGTTCAAGATTCTGGTGGGAAGAAGTTGAGGATGGTGACTGAAGAGCATGGTGAGGAGACCACTGGGAAGTGATATGAAGGCCTTGGCCTCAGCAAGATAAGGTGAAATATCACCTGGGACCAGGCAGCTT